CTCAATCCTTCCTTTAACTCATTCTTACTTCCTTTCAGGTACGTAAACGGGAGAGATTTTGAGGATTTCGTCTAGAATATGGTGAGATACAGAAGAAGGAGAAGAAGATGATTATGATGAACTTGTGATTATAGACTAATACTTTCTGTTGTAATCTGGCCATGTAGGTGATTCAAAGCTTCTATGTTGGTTTTGGAAATCAATTAATATTACTCTGAAAATGCTCGTACTAATATATGCTTCTTGGAGTCTGGTGGAGTATTTCCAAATTGTCTCAACATGCCCGCTCGGACTTCGATTAATTTAGGAAATAAACCGACTATGTCTTCATGTTTTGATCATGTAAACTTGATTTGAAGTCGTCGATATTTGGTCCTGTTGACCGTATGCTTACACTTTAAACGCTTTTGCAGGTCACACACTTGGTAGAGGAACGCACGTGGGAGTTTGCCAAGTCACGAAGTAATACAGTGAGGTATTTGGCTTTCGCTTTGGATAATAAGTTTGGTTCGTGCAACTCAATTGGTAACCTTGTGTGTTGTTTTTCAGTCTTGGAGATAGAAGCACGAAACAGCTTCAAATGAGTGCAATCAATCAGATTTATTTCTCATGCGTTCTGAAGTTTCACCAAGTACACCCTTGATTGCGAGCCTCTTTGTCCGGTGTTAAGCGAGAGTACCAAAGATCTGAAACCAGATGTCTAGTGAAGTGATCAATTGCATCCTCAACAACAGGTGAATTCACTTTTGCTCGCCACTCAAATTTTGCAACTGCTTTAGGATTTTCGGTATGCTTCTTTGAAGACTGAATGTTGGTGGAGCTTGCTATTCTCAAATTATCATGTCTGGAACATAATGTGTTTCAAGAAGGTATCCTTGTCCATTAACTTGTCTTGAATTAAATCCTAAATATGAGATAATTAATTTGCAGGTGATATTCTTGCAATCCCTATTTTCTGCAGCACAATAGTTATAATGTGGTGTGAAGTTATGGAAGCTAGTAACTTATGCGGACGGTGACAACTTGTGAAGTGGGGAGTCAACGCAGTGCTATTAGTGGCTGCTATCTGTAACCGGGTTCTGGTATTCTATATGAGACCAGAACTTGAAGCTCCAATGTTAACATATAAATTTGTTGTTGGTCGGTTTGTGAATGCCCTGTGGTCATGAGATGCCAAATGGTCAAGAACTTCTATGTTACGGTTGGTTGCTGTGAAGAACTGGTGATATGAGATACTCCCGGCTGGTATTGAATGGTGGATCCATCCTTGGTGATGCCGGTATCAATTCTGAGTTGTCGATACTGCAACCTCGGTATGTCATCTTTTGACGTGTATTTTTGCATTGAGTTTTCTTCCTTGTTAGAGCTTAATAACATTCTCATGGTGTCAAATGTATCACCTGGGGCGCTGCCTTCACGTAAAATGCCGCTAAGGGGAACAACACAAAACATACTTCTCGAAGCATCCAAAATATACACCTTAGAATCAGGAAGGTCGCCAGTCAATAATACTGTAAGTTGACTGATAGTCGCAGTATCGGATTTATGTCTTTACTATGATTGCATAAATTCTTAAGGATTATTGCCGAATCTTCCTTTGCTTTTGCAGATCCAAAATTTGAACAAGCGGAGGTATATCACCAGCAGCAGTAGTTGCCCATTTACTTTCATCATTTTCACTGGATCAAAGGCAAAGCAATGCAACTGCACATTCCTACTGCTGTTCTAATGAAAGGCCAAGCAGAGATATCGAAAGTTGAACTCCTTCACGACCCCGAAGTGCGCGCCACAGACTGCCTTCACCTTTGCATAGTGTCAACAGAGCTTTTATAAGTTCGTCTTGCACTTCATTGGCAGCCACAACTGTGCGTTTCGCCGTTACGCAACGATGAGAGAGAGGACAAAAGGGGCCTGCTACGGTTGTTTGGCTATTAAAGTATCTGTCTTGAAACCAAATAAATGGCATCTTGTAAACTTATCTTGTAAACTTTATATTGCACGCGATGTATATTAGATTCAATATTGCTTTCACAGTGGAAGAAGATTTCCAATATTATTCGCAGAACTTATGTTCATTGCTTGTGTTTGTAGCTCAGTAAGGTTAAAACCGTGAAATTTTAAGAATGGTTATCCAAGTTGTAATCCTTAAATGACTTGTGAATAAGTTAACTTGTATGTTTTTGCCTCGATGGTCGAAGTCTGATTGCCTGATTGTGAACTCATGTATTGCCCAATGATATCTAAAGACTATCAAGATCTCTAAACCTTATCAAATAAAATAGGTGCTATGCAAGTAACCACTTCATGGCTTTGATACGTGGCTTGCCTAAGATAAGTGCTTAAACGAAAGCAACATGTTTTCCCTGTGTCTCAATTAATCTAGCCACTGAAATCTAAATTGCACCATCTCTTAAACATGACCTTTAATTCATCAACTTGAATAAACACAACTTAACCATTTTGATATGATCTTGGGACAACTTTGACAACTCTGCAACAACTAATAGTGATAAAATCCAAACACGGCTGTAGGCTGCTGGGAATTATTTCTTACACATTAACTTAGTGCTTGACCATTCACAATCGCAACTTTACAACTTAGATTACCTCAATGAACTTACTTCCATAACTCCTCTTATATGTTGAGCAAAACAATACACGTGTCTTGAACGTTAATTTTAAAAGCCACCCTGAATCCAGTTAAGTCAAGGCCCATAGGAATAAGGGCATATTCTTCTTTCTCATCCCCATGACTTCAACGTATCTTAATGGATATATACAAGGAATTCTCAAGACTTTCACACTTTCTTCAATACTGCAAAACGAACTAGGCAAAATGGTTAGCTAAAGCCAAAAGAAAGACTTAAAGATATGCCAGAAAAAGTGCAGGAAGGTGGGATCTTAAGGTCAAAAATTAGGGTGTGACAGTCAACAGAAACCCCAGGTTGCAAGCATTACAATTCCAGTTGTTCAACCAACACAACAACAACAACAACAACAACAGCGTCCACAACAACAACAACAAAGTTATACTCCTCGCAGATTCCAAGACCGTGGAAGGGCTATAAATAGACAATTTGATGCACCGCCAATGCCTTATTCACAGTTACTTCAACATTTGATGCAATTACAGTTAATCCAGAAAAGGACGTTGGCTCCTTTAACCGGTGCACCACCTTCAGGGTATGATGCTAATGCCAGGTGCGATTTTCATTCTAGTGCTCCCGGCCATAATATTGATAATTGTAAAGCCTTCAAGCATAAGGTGCAAGACCTTATCGACAGTAAAGCTATCAATTTTTCTTATGACGCGCCTAGCATTGTGCAAAATGCCATGCCTAATCATGGAGCGCCTGGGGTAAATGCCAATGTGGAGGAAGAATGGTTGAATCTGGTAACTGATGTTGAAGAACTGAAGACTCCTTTGAGTTTTGTGAAGGATAAGTTGTTGAGCAGACAAGTGTTTCCCGGTTGCGAAAGAGACTGTACAGGTTGTTTGACCCATCCTGAGGGATGTGAGAAGTTGAAGAGTCATATTCAGAGATTGATGAATGAGGGTATCTTGCAGTTTGACAGAGTCTCGAAAGAGAACGGGGAGAAAATAGTTGATGAAGAGAAAGATGCAGTGGCTATAATTTCTATTTCTTATAAGACAATTACTATTTCTGCACCGCCAAGGCCACCCACCATCATAATTACTAAGGCAGGGCCTATACCCTATGAAAGCACCAAAGCGATACCATGGAATTATGGAGCTGAGGTCTTTTGCAATGGTCAAAAGAAGATGTTGCTCTCAACATTTCGTTAGAGTTAAATAATCCTCCCATATCAAATTGCATATTTGTTATGGTCTCACTATCGCTACCCTTGATGTTGGTGCATTGTCTCACCATTGTGAAGAGATGATTAAGACAATTAGATGTTATGTGAAAGTGCAGTCTAAGTCTGTTTTACCAAGACTCCTCGATGGGCATCAATTATACTTGTGATAAATAAAATAATGTGAACCATATTTAAGAATGGAAGAGCAAAAAGGCTTTAAGATGTTGAATCTATAATAAGTGAATGAATCTTATAGTCATATGACCAGAGTATTTATAAACTCTAACCATTGGGCCAAGTAGTTTTCATTGGCCGTCTGGCCACTTTGCTAAATCACAAGGTTAGAAAGACCAGTATCCCCCATTATTAGGAGGAGAGGTTACTTTGTGGAACAATGATGATGTCCATTATTTCACCTTATATGTGGCCTGATACATCCACATATGATCTGGGGTTGAATGAATTGGCTTGAGTCGGACGACCTATGATTTAGAAGTGTTAGACCAAGCTGGGGGAGCTCACGTGCTAGGCCACCTTTATTCCTACCCTCCCGTTATGTCATTGGGTAGAGTGTTATATGGGTCGACCACACACTTATGAATTTATCCTTTATACATTAATTTTTTATTTTTATATTTTAAAACTGATTTTTATAAAAAAAAAAAAAACTAATCAATAGTAATAATTATTATTTTGAACTCATTTGTTAATTTACATATTCATTCTTAAAGATTTCATATTTTATAAAAATAATTTTCAGAAAAGTTATTCAAAATTACTTTTAATTTAAAGGATTTTTCAAAAGATTATTATCTAAAAAAACCATAAAGTGATATTTTGTGAGAAACTATTTTAACCAAATTTTAATTATTTTTATTTAAAAAATCATTTTATAAAAGTTACATTAAAAATAGTTTTAAATTTAATTTAAAAAAATTGTTGTAACAAAGAAATCTCTTGTCTTGTATTGTAACAAAATGTATTGACTAAATAATATTTTATTTTATGCATATGATTCGAGTGAATCATCTCTTTCCCACTTAACTAAAAAAACAACTTTATATGAACACGTATCTGAGGTGAGTCTCCTACTCTACCATTTTAGTTGAAGTTCTTACCTATCCCTACATAAGATCACAACACAAAATTGATGAACCACACAGAAAAAATAGAAAGAGATGCCTGAGTTTTGTGTCACAGGAGGCACTGGTTTCATAGCAGCTTATCTTGTTAAAGCCTTGTTGGAAAAGGGTCACACAGTAAGAACTACAGTAAGAAATCCAGGTATCAATTGCCTTATATGATGTTTGGTTACTCCATTCATTATTCTCTTTTAGCAATAATCTACTTGATGCAGATGATTTGGAGAAGGTTGATTATCTGACTAAACTAACTGGAGATAAAGAGAGATTGAAGATTTTGAAAGCAGATCTGTTGGTGGAAGGGAGTTTTGATGAGGCAGTGACTGGCGTTGATGGTGTGTTTCATACAGCATCTCCTGTGATTGTTCCATACGATAATAACATTCAGGTAACACAATTGTTATTTCACTCCTATACTTATGATTTGTTGATGTTTCGAATGTTTTGTAGGCTACTTTGATTGATCCATGTATTAAAGGAACTCAGAATGTGCTGAACTCGTGTATTAAAGCAAATGTGAAACGTGTGGTGCTAACATCTTCTTGTTCCTCGATAAGATACCGAGATGATGCGCAACAAGTTTCTCCTCTTATTGAGTCTCATTGGAGTGATCCGGAATACTGCAAACGCCATAACGTAACAACACTTATTTCCTTCTAAATTAGTACTTTTTTTATAAACCATTAAGGAATGCCACACAGAGTCTGTTTTAAGTTTGAATGGAACTCATGAATTATGCAGCTGTGGTATGCATATGCAAAGACTCTGGGAGAGAGAGAGGCTTGGAGGATTGCAAAGGAAAGTGGGATTGATCTTGTGGTGGTTAATCCTTCTTTTGTTGTTGGTCCACTTCTTGCACCACAACCAGCTAGTACATTGCTCATGATTCTAGGCATCGTCAAAGGTTAGATCATTATTGTTGGACATTTTTAGTTCTCTGTTTCTTTTGAGATATAGGGTTCGTACTCTGGTTTTTGTGTCCAATCTAACAATATCAACTTTTGCTCGTTGAACTAGTATTTGCGTAAAACGCTAGACCAAACTTTGAAAAAGTGACTATGTTTGCTAAATGAAAGTACATGTTCTTATAACAGGTTTGAAAGGAGATTACCCAAACACGACAGTGGGCTTTGTCCATATAGATGATGTGATTTCTGCCCACTTATTGGCTATGGAGGAGCCCAAAGCATCTGGCAGGCTTATTTGTTCAAGTACAGTATCCCACTGGTCTCAAATCATCCAAATGCTTCGGGCCAAATATCCTTCCTATCCATACGAAACCATGTCAGTTTTTTTTCAATATTCTCCTTAATTTTTCTATCATCAAATGACTAAAACACTCTGGTTGCAACATCAATTTTGTTTTAGGTTTAAAGTTATAAGTATTTATTAAGCTTTCCTGTCCACTGCAGGTGTGGCAGCCAGGAAGGAGATAATAATGCGCATAGCATGGACACCACGAAAATCACTCAATTGGGTTTTTCTAAATTCAAAAGCCTTGAACAAATGTTTGATGACTGCATCAAAAGCTTTCAAGACAAAGGCTTCCTATGAGATCCATGAGATGATCTCAGGTATCTTTTGTGTTCGTGTAAGGTGTTTGTATCATATGTGATTTGAAATAAGATGTTGTATACCAAACTAAGTATCAATTGACATAATAGTCTTGATAAATAAAGAAGATAACTTTTACTCCATTATTTCTTCCTTTATCCAAGATTTTGCTCTATTTTCTAGTTTGTGTCCTTGACTTGTATAACCAAACATTTAATATTACTTTCTTGGTGTGCAAACAAAGAGAAGATAAATATGGATAGTGAGAGAACCGGCGATTTATAGATTCTAAACTTTTATAGATTCTAAACTTTTGAAATAAAGGTTGCAGATAAATGTTATATGAACTTTTTTATGTGTGATTTTGTCATCAGTGGCAAATTTATCATGAATTAGTCTCTAAAACAGCAAGGACTTAGAAGGAGGTATAACAACATTCCAAATCATTTTTCCCCAGTTCCTTATTTGAGAAGGAATGATTTTGAATAATTAAGCATCTCTGAAGTTTTGTGACCATTGGTGATAGGAATGAATCGGATCCCACAAATGATGATGGGAATGTGTTAGTTAATAGAGATATTATTGGACCTAAACAATGGAGGGTATATGTGAGAAAGAATAGGAAACTCCACAAATAAATAGGAGTTAGTTTAGGTATTATTCTCCATATAAATAGGAGTTAGTTTAGGGATTATTCTCCATATAAAGAGGAGTGTATGGGGCAGTAGTTAGGCATTAATTGATTTTCTGTTTTTGACCTTAGGGTTTGGGCAGTGAGAGAATAGTTTCTCTGACTGAGGAGCAATAGCTCTGGAATTTATTTTACTTTCATATTAATTAATAAAATACTTTTCTTTAATATATACCTCTGTTCTATCAATTGGTCCGACCTACCATTGTTCATGCCCAAAGCTCCTAAGATGGCTGACCGTGTTTCTGCAGTGGAAGAAAGGTTGGAAGGTGTTGAGGCTAGCATTGCTGCGTTACGAGAGTTCATTGGTGCTGAGATTCAACGTGCAATGGCTCATCGTGAAGTGCCGCAGCCAAGCAGTGCAACAGTTTCCTCACCGCTGGATGAGTTTCGTTTATCTGCGAAGAAGGTGGAGTTGCCGGCATTTACCGGTGACGATCCGGTTGCATGGATCACTCGGGCAGAGACATACTTTGAGGTACAACGAATTTCGCAGGATGTTCGTATTCAGTTGACCAAATTGAGTATGGAAGGCCCTACTATCCATTGGTTTAACCTATGGCATGATTCAACAGAGGAATTGTCATGGGAGAACCTCCGTGAGGCGATGATGGTTCGATTTGGAGGTGGGCGTTTGGAGAATCCGTTTGAGGAATTAAAGGACCTAAAACAATCGGGATCAGTAGAGGAATATATTGCTGAATTCGAACTGTATTCTTCACAGTGTGGTCGTTTGCCAGAACAACAGTTTCTAGGTTACTTCATTGGTGGTTTACGTCATGATATTCGTTCTCGTGTGCGTACCTTCAAGCCTCGCAACCGTTACCTAGCAATGCAATTGGCTCGGGATGTTGAAAGAGAATTTGCAGTGGCTTCTGGACAGGGTTCTGGAGCACGTTACAAACCGGGTCATGCTTCTTGGTCAAAATCTCAAAAGCCTACTTGGGCTTTTCGCGAAGGGGAAGGGAACGGATCTGTAACTCAGACCCAACCTAATAATTCTTTGGGCAAAACACGGACTGGTTCGGATTCTGGATCTCAAACACGTCCTATCAATTCTACAGCATCTTCTCGCCCAAATTTAGGTGACAACTCACGCCGTCAATCTCGTGGTGTTCGCCATCTACCAAGTGCAGAGGTTAATGAGCGTCGTGCGAAAGGACTCTGTTTTCGTTGCAACGAACGATGGGATCCTCTCCATCAATGTGCAACAAGACAATTACGATTGATTATCTTGGGGGATGACGAAATTGTTAACGATGCAGGCGAGATTGTGGTATTGGAGGCTGCGACGGAAGAAGAGCTCACACCAGAGGAATTAGAATGTAAAACCATCGGGCTGTTTGGTGTATCCACTAATCCAAATCAGGTCCGGACGATGAAATTGGAGGGATGTTTACACGGTGCATTAATTCTGGTACTTATTGACAGTGGAGCCACACATAATTTCATATCACCTAAGGTGGTTGAAGCCCTGGGATTGTCTATGGTGCCTTCTAATCCTTTGGGTGTTAAGTTAGGAGATGGTCATCGTGTCCTAACTAGGGGTAGATGCAATGGAATTCAGATGAAAGTGGGATCAGTGCAGATTTGCTTTGATGCTTATGTATTGGAGTTAGGAGGTGTGGATTTGATTTTAGGAGTTGTGTGGCTAGAAACGTTGGGGAAGGTAACCATGGATTGGAAAGAAATGTCTATGGAGTTCAACCATAAAGGCAGGATGGTGAAACTACTTGGTCAGGCTGTAGATGATAAGATGGCTACTTTCCAAAGCATTATCACTCCTTCTCGAATGATAGCAGGCTGTGAATGGCCTACCTTGATGGAGGTGTTAGGCTCACCGGTGTCGTGTGTCTCGGATCAACAGACTAGGGAGTTGGAAGGATTGTTGGAGCATTTTGTTATTGTGTTTAAAGAAATCCAAGGTCTTCCTCCGTCAAGAAACACTAGTCATTCAATTGACCTTTTCCAGGGTGCGGGTCCGGTAAGTGTGCGACCTTACAGATATCCTCATGTACACAAGGATGAAATTGAAAAACAGATTCAGAGCCTATTGCAACAAGGGGTGGTTAGAAACAGCACCAGCGCGTTCTCTAGTCCCGTCATTTTGGTCAAGAAGAAGGATCAATCTTGGCGTATGTGTGTAGATTACCGTGCACTCAACAAGGTCACAATTCAGGACAAGTATCCTATTCCGGTTGTAGATGAATTGTTAGATGAGTTACATGGCTGTAGTTATTTCTCTAAGCTTGATCTCAAATCCGGTTATCATCAAATTCGGATGAAGGAAGAGGATATTCATAAAACGGCTTTTCGGACTCATGAGGGTCACTATGAGTTTTTGGTAATGCCGTTTGGCCTCACCAATGCTCCTGCAACTTTTCAATCGGTGATGAATGCAATTTTCAAGCCTTTTCTAAGGAAGTTTGTCCTGGTTTTTTTTGATGATATCCTAGTATACAGTAGTAGTTGGGCTGAACATTTACAGCACTTGGAGGTGGTTCTTAAGATTCTGAAGCAGCATCAGTTTGTGGCAAATCGGAAGAAATGCACTTTCGGTCAGCACCAAGTAGAATATTTGGGTCATGTCATTTCCAAAGCAGGGGTTGCTGTTGATCCTGCCAAGGTCAGCAGTGTGTTACAATGGCCTATTCCTAGGAATGTCAAAGGAGTGCGAGGTTTTTTGGGGTTGACGGGGTATTACCGAAAGTTTATAGCGAATTATGGAAAAATTGCTAAACCCTTAACAGAATTGACAAAGAAGGATGGTTTTAGCTGGAATCCGGCAGCTGCCGAAGCTTTTGAGAAATTGAAAGTAGCTGTTACAACTGCCCCAGTTTTAGCCCTGCCTAATTTCAAGTTCCCCTTTGAAATTGAATGTGATGCCTCGGGAAAAGGAGTTGGTGCAGTATTGTTACAATCGAAGCATCCTATTGCATATTTTAGCAAGGCTTTTGATTCATCTAGGTTATCCAAATCTGCCTATGATAAGGAGTTAATGGCTTTAGTGTTAGCTATTCAACATTGGCGACATTATTTGTTAGGCAGGAGGTTTGTGGTTTATTCTGATCAAAAGAGCCTAAAACACTTGTTGCAACAACGTATTACCACAGCAAATCAGCAAGAATGGATGGCTAAGTTATTGGGTTTTGACTTTGAGGTGGTGTACAAGGTGGGAGTGGAAAACAAAGTGGCTGATGCTTTATCTAGACAGCACGAGAATGCTGAAATGCAAGCGATTAAATCCTACCCTATTTGGCAGCAGAGCAGCCAACTACAACAAGAAGTATCAAATGATCCTTTGCTTAAAAATATTATGGAAGCTATTCAAAAAGATCCTAATGCTAAACCTGGTTTTGCTTTAAAAGGTGGCATCTTATTCTACAAAAATAGGTTAGTTATACCGGCTAACTCGCCACTTATTGAGGAGTTACTCAAAGATTTTCATTCTTCTCCAAGTGGGGGTCACTCCGGATACCTACGCACTTATAGGAGAATGGCAGGAACTTTATATTGGCAAGGGATGATGCGGAGGGTGCAAGATTTTGTGAAAGCTTGTGATACTTGTCAACGACAAAAATATGCGGCAACGACTCCTAATGGATTACTACAACCTCTTCCCATTCCGGTTATGGTGTGGAGTGAGATATCCATGGATTTCATCACTTGTTTGCCAAAAAGTAATGGATTTGAAGCTATATTGGTTGTGGTGGACCGTCTCTCCAAATACAGCCATTTCATTCCTCTTAAACATCCATTTACTGCTCGCTCAATAGCTGCTGTTTTTGTGAAGGAAGTGGTTAGATTACATGGCATTCCGGAGTCTATTCTTAGTGATCGTGACCCCTTGTTTGTGAGTATTTTTTGGAAAGAGTTGTTCAAATTAGTAGGTACGGTGCTTAAAATGTCCTCGGCATACCATCCCCAAACGGATGGTCAAACAGAAGTAATTAATCGTTGTTTAGAGGCCTATCTACGTTGTTTTATTGCAGATCAACCTAAGACATGGGCACACTGGATTCCATGGGCAGAACTGTGGTACAATACCACATTTCACGTGTCTACCGGGTTCACCCCTTTCGAGGTGGTATATGGTAGAAAACCTCCAGTGTTGGTGCATTTTTTGGAGGGTGAAACCAGAGTGGAAGCTGTAGCACAGGAGTTAAGGGACAGAGATGAGGCGTTGCGTCAATTAAAAACTAATTTACTCAAAGCCCAGGAGGACATGAAATTCCAAGCTGACAAGAAACGCAAGGCAGTGCAATTTGAGGTGGGTGACTGGGTTTTCCTCAAATTACGTCCTCATCGA